TAGAAAGTGCCTAACAATGATTTTAGGACACCTTTTGAAACGATGGAAAACGGTGTGAAAACGACGATCGTAACGACATTCGTTTCCACTAGTACGTAAACGACCACCGTAAAGGTCATCGTTTATCGCCGTATTTCTCCGTTTTACGGCAGATCGTAAACGACCATCGTAACGACAGCCGTTTTTCACCGTTTTCAAGTCGTTTAAGGCAGTTTACGAGCCGTTGTACATGACATGGGATGTGTATAGTAGTGTTGTACAGTTTATTCTCAAAAGAAATATAATTTATGTTATATATAGCAACTTTTGAAATGTTGTTAAGAAAAAGACGCATGAGATTTTTCTTCAATTGTAAATTTGGCTATATTTTATACTTCTCAGCTATTTAATCTCAAGCACTACTTAATCTACATCCAAAGCTATTTAAAAACTACTCAGCTATTTATTCTTCTTTAACATTTTTCGATCTTTAGCTATTTAATGTTCAGTACTATTTAAAGACTCCTCAGCTATTTAAACATGTTTATAGTTACATAAAAAGTTTCCAGCTATTTAATTTCTCTAATACTATTTTTTAAAAACTCTTCAGCTATTTAAATCATAGTGTAACTATTTAATTATCTTCTTAGTTATTTAAAGCCGAATATCTATTGAAAACTTAACAATTATTTAAACAAGTGTTATTAATTTTTTAATATAATTGATCGTTCTCGAACAGAGGAATTATTTAATGAGCTATTCAAACTAGAATTATTTAAAAAAATTATTACAGCAATTTGAAGTGTTTGTTAACTATTTTCGAAAAAAATAAATTTACAAATTTTTGATAGTCAGTCATGCAATAAAAACCGATCCGAAATTCTATAAGAAAGAAATGAGAATCAACTATTTAAATAATTTAATAATTGTATACATTTCTTTAAATAGCTACTTGAATCAAATAGTTATGATAGTATGGTAGAGGTGTCACATTTTAAATATCCATATGAAACTTAAAATAACTGTGATGTTTAATTAAAAACTATCTCTTTTGAGAAGCAACGTTTTTTTTTTTTGTGCTCTAAAATCCGTTTAAACTTTATTTTGAGACCTTCCATAGATGTGCTTGTAACTCCAAAAACGTATGTCTAATATAAATTTCAAACCTATGTTACGAAAAAACATAAAATTCTAATTTTAAATCAATATTTCATAGCTTCTGTTGATCATATTAATCGATTAAAAAAATGAAGAAATATTTCAAAAATAGGTACAATTCGATTCGCAGTATCTCAAATTAATTACGAACAATTCAGATAAGTTCAAATTTGTATTCGGTTAGTTAAATATTTCCTTTTAAATTCTGTTTCTCGAAAACAAAAACATACCTAAATTAATACACATAGTAAAATTTTCTTGTCCAGCATCGATTTTTTGGCTTTTAAACTTTGATGATAATTCATTAATAAATTCATTTCACTAACATCACGTAGTTTTAAATTATTATTCATTTGTCTAATCATTCCATCCATCCATTCACATATGTAAATCTCTCGTTAAATTAAAAAATCTATGTAGATCTTCGTAATCATTTAATAAATGTTTTTGTTGATCAACAAATTGTTGTAATAATTTCCATGATGTTAAAACATCCATTTCTTTTTGTTTTATTTCTGTTTCTTTTTCACCAGCATAACATCCATTTAAACATTTTGATTCTTGTTGTATACGTTGTATATATTGTGCTAATAAAACTAATTCTATTTTTAAATTGTTGATGTTTACATAATAATTGTTGTACACTTTGTTGATCATGACCAATTTCATCTGGTATAGAATTTTTACGTTCTTGCATAATTAATAAAATTTCTTTATGATCATGTAAAAATTTATGTAATTCCCATGATGCTTTTAATGATTGTAAATGTGTTTCAATCATTTCTAATAAATCTTGATAAGATTCATTTAATGTAACTTTTAATTCAGCTCTATGTGATGAATCAACATGTCTATTAACAATTAAAAGATGAATCATTTCATTAGGATGTTGTAAACATCCATTACCAATTTGTTCTGTTTCTTGTGCAAATGCAGGAAAACGATCAAGTAATATAGATATATATTCAAAATCTTGTCCAAGTTCATATGAACCAGCTATTAATTCTCTATCTGATATCGATTGTTCAAGATCATCAATTTCTCTATGTAAACGATAAAGTTTTAATGTTTCATCTAAACATTATCGTCTTTCAACAGATAAATCTTTCAAACTAGTATATAATTTATTTAATTGTGTTTGTCGTTTATTAATTAAATCATGATGTTCATTAATTAAATCACACGATAAATTTGATTGTTCTAAATCTATTATTAAATTTTTTACTTTATTACTTAATTTACATAAAATATCATTATAATTTTCAATTGTTTGTTTCATTGTTTGACGTTTACGTATAAATATTTGTGTTGATAATTCATTTTTACTATGTTCTTCACTCATCATATATAATTCTTGTTCACCTAACCATGCTTCAGTTTTACTTAAATCATAATAATATTGATAAATATTTTCTAATAATTCAATATTTATACGACGTTGTTTAATTGTTTATTTTAATTGTATATGATTATCTGATAATTGTTGTAAACGTTCATAAAATTCTTCTTAACGTATTGGATAATCATGATTTATACGTTGACATTCTTTATGTTAATGTTCTAATAAACGTTGTTCATAATTTTCAATTTCTTTTAATAATGATTCGTTTTTACGTTTTAATAATTGTATATTGATTAATATTTCTTGTTTATTATTAAATAAATATTAATTCGATATATGTTTGTAATAAATGACGTTTTTCATTTAACCATATTTGTTCATTTTCAATATTACATAGATATTGATGTAAATCTTTTTATTGTTCTAAACGTAATTTTTTTTTTGTTTTTCTTTTAATGATAATAAAAGTTTAGAAAATTTTTCTTCAACTTGTAAACGTTTTGTATTAATTTCTTCAAATTTTTCAGGTTCTAATTGTTTTAATTTTTCTACTTGTATACATAATTCATCAACTTGTTGTTGACGTTTTAATAATTCTTCTTCAATTGTTGTTTGTTTAATTAATAAAAGATTTATTGCTGTTAAATTATTTTCTAATGGTTCAAGTGTTGTTGTAGTTGTTGTTGTTGTTGTTGTTGTTGTTGGAATTTATCATTCAGTTAAATCTGTTGATGTTGGTTCACCCGCATATAAATGTTTTTTAATATTAAGCATAAATTCATCAAGATTTGTTATAGATTGTTGAAATAATTTTGAACGATTAGCATAGCATCAAATAAACGTTCACCTTTTTCACGTGTTATTTCTTCTAATTTTAACTATAAATCATCTAATTCATTAATACGTTGATCAATTATATTGAAATCAATTTGTTGTGGATGTTCTTCTTTTAATTATTCAGCATAACGTTTTAATACTAATAAACATTCTTTATTTGATGTTATTTTAGTTTGAAATGCTTGATGACGAAGATATTTTATATGAATATTTGCTGTATAACGATACGTATCATCTTGAGCTTGTAAAGATTTCATATCAAGCCATTCTTTAAAATTATTACAATCTTCTATAAATTGAAAATATTTAAGAGATTCATGTAGTTTATCTTGCATTTCAAGTGAAGTTTGACGATTAGTAGCATAACGATCATTGATTACGGAGGCACGAGCTAATATACGATCGCCTAGAAAATAAAAATAATCATTAGTAGATATGTATTAAATACGAACTTCGTAGTTTGGATTCAGTATGAAAAAGTAGTAGCTTTTTCTTCTAAGATTTCTTATATAACGCAATTTACTATCATGCATATTAACAAAACATTTAAGAGAGAACGTGAAATTGTTATAATAATATTACTGATTAGAAAAATTTTATTTAATAATATGATATAAAACAATAGAAAAGAAAAAGCTAAATTTATAAATGTTATTTCTCTCGTTTATGGAGTGTAGAAATATAGATATTTTCTTTACTCATATACCTTCACTTATACGCACACTCACATCCATTCTTGATATTTAACTTTTATCTACTTTTTTCCTGTCGACATTTTTCTTTTCTATCTTTTCCGTCAATCCGGAAGATTCGAGTTCAGTTCATCCTTAATATATTTTAACATTACTGTTGAAATCAATGAAGTAAATAGAGAAAAAATGAATAGAATATGATCGAGCTTTTTGAAGTTTTAACTATATTATTGAAGTATATAGATGATGAAGTCTTGAAAATTTAAAATGTGATTTAAAAATCAAATTTTATCGATCGTTGACAAACAATGATTGTAAAAACAAGATTGATTGAAATAAAAGTTATATCAAAGTTTTAAAAAATTATATAAAATTCATCTTCTACTGTACTAAACATGGCTGTTACGAGTTTTGATCTTGTTTCTTGAACGATATTTATTGTGGCGAAAGTTAGATAAAATAGCAACATATACATATGTTTTTATTTAACTGCATTTATAAAATAAATGTG